GTGATTTTATATATGTTTATATCTACACTTATGTTTGTGCTTTTTTGTCTTTTGGAACAAAAGATAAACTAAGCATTTTGGATTTTATCCTCTATGCAACCAAGAATCAAAAGAGTGTCTTAGGCTGGTAAATACATTAATTAACTTACATATTGGAGTAATGGTAGCGGAGTATGTGATTATCCACAGAGTTCAAAGGCTGGAAAGCCAGTTTAGAGGATACTTTAGTGTTTCGAACAAGAAAAGTGATCATCTTTCCTAAGCAGTACCTGTGGGGATTGGTAAATTCACATTAGTTAAAACATGCACAGTACAACAATGTATTAAGAAACCATTCTTTTATATATTCATTGCCTGGAATGAGTGTTTTCACTTTGAAAGACATTGCCTTCTTTTCATCATTACATAGATGAAAGAAGCAGCAACTCAAAGGGCAGTAGAGAGGCAAATACAGAAATGAAAACTGGCCCTGGGCCTCCTAGGTTTCAGCTGACCCACATGCCTTAGAAGATACTGTGTGAACTGAAGCGTGTGGATTGAAAATCCCTCATCTGCCTCCTCCCGGGTGGCTGAGATGAACCCCATTAGCATCCAAAGGACAGCTCAGGGTGAACTTGAGAATGAGGAATTGGTTTTTATCCTTACAAATAAATAGAAGTGACCCCTTTACACCTTACCCTCCGTGGTGATGTCAGTGTTCTGGATTCTGAATGGGAAAACATTCTCAGGAGCAGAACAGGGTAGGTGATTAAGGATGATAAATGTCTCTAAGTTAGATTTGAAAAGCTCAGTCAACCATTATAAGCCATAAAAACACAAATCATGGGCAGTGAGACCTACAGTTTGGCTCTCAGCTCAGTTGTTTCTTACAATATAGCCTTTTTGAAACTCATTTTCCTTATTGAAAATTCAGACTTAATAAACCAACTGTATTCACTATGAAAAGACTGAAATGACAATGTTGGGAAATGTGTTCACCATCGGTGTGAAGGGCATATAAATAAACAATGCAGAAAAAAAAGTAAATGGTGTCAACTTTTTTTTTTTAAGATTTATTTTTATTATTTTTTTATTGGGCAAATGGTGTCAACTTGTTTAAGATCATTAATCCTGGGTCCTGGTGTTGTGGTCTAGTGAGAAACCCTGCTGCCTGCAACATGCGCTCCGTATAAGAGTGCCACCTTGAGTCCTGGCTGGTCTGCTTTCCATACAGTTCCCTACTCATGGCCTGGGAAAAGCAGCAGATGGCCCAAGAACATGGAACCCTGGAGCCCAAAAGAAGCTCTTGGCTCCAACCTGACCCAATCTTTTTTTTTTTTTTTTATTGTTGCTTACATTGTATTATGTAGTACAGTTTTATAGGCGCTGGGGATTCCCCCCACCCCTCCTATACCCCTCCCCCCATGGTGGATTCCTCCACCTTGTTGCATAACCATAGTTCAAGTTCAGTTGAGATTCATTCCTTGCAAACACATGCCTAGCATAAAGTTCAGCGTCTTATTGTCCAGATAAGTTCAGTGGCCTCTTGGGGAGACCTTCTATGGTCTGAAGATAGGTCTAACAGAGTAAAGATCCGGTCAGTTAAAAGCCCCAACAAGGCCTCAGTGTCAATATACAACATTATGGAATTAATTGACATAGTATTGGGTAAACAATATGTTAAAAATAATGCAAGTTCCATTCTTCGAAACATCTGGGTTGAGACAGTATCAATGACAGGTTCAAAAAATAACAAACAACCATACAAAAATTACAGGTTAAATCAAGGCAAACATGTGGTATCTAATCTTTTGGGATTCACTCATTTCCCTTAGCATTATAGTTTCCAGTTGTGCCCATTTAGCCACAAAGAACTGCATTTTGTTTTTTTTAATAGCTGAGTAGTATTCCATGGAGTAGATGAACCAAAGCTTTCTTATCCAACCTGACCCAATCTTGATGACCTGTAGCCATCCAGGGAATGAAGATGGAATCTCTTTCTCTTCTCCTGTCTCTGTAACTCTTTCAAATAAATAAATTAAAAAAAAAAAATAAAGCTCATTGATACTGTAGTTGAGGTTTTCTGGGTTTCAATCCAGAATGAAATAATTATGAACTTTCCTAATCCATGAAATGTGAATTGAAGTAATATATATATATATATATATATATATAGCTGTGTATGAGTGGTAGAGAATTACAAAGACCAAAGTTTAATCTGACTAATTGTGTTTCTTTTTGAAGATTTATTTATTTTTATTACAAAGTCAGATACACAGAGAGGAGGAGAGACAGAGAGGAAGATCTTCCGTCCAGTGAGTCACTCCCCAAGTGACTGCAACGGCTGATGCTGTGCTGATCCGAAGCCGGGAACCAGGAACCTCTTCTAGGTCTTCCACATGGGTGCAGGATCCCAAAGCATTGGGCCATCCTCGACTGCTTTCCCAGGCCACAGGCAGGGAGCTGGATGGGAAGTGGAGCTGCCGGGATTAGAACTGGCGCCTGTATGGGATCCCGGCGTATTCAAGGCGAGGACTTTAGCCGCTAGTCCACGCCGCCGGGCCCTAATCTGACTAATTGTTACTATGTTATATTATTTGTCTTCCTTTTCATTTCCAAGAATAGGTATTACATAATTTAAGGGTACTTTAGGGTATAATAATTTTGATTCATTAGCTAATTTTTGTGACTCTTCCACGAATCCTGGAATCTTCGAGTTACTAAAGGAATTAAGGAAATAGCCAATTTTCTCACGTTTTGATTTCAGCCTCTATGAACAATTCCCAGGATGAGAACTCCTCTCCACTTACCTCAGGCACTACCATACCAGGGGTTTTCAAAAAGTTCAGGGAAATGTATATTACCAGAAAGCTATGCAGGTTTTCAAAATGTTTTCTAACTAAAATAAACCTCTTTTAATTTCATTTTTTATGATACAAAAAAGACTTATTCCTCTAAAAGGCAAGGCAACGTGGAAAGGGAGAGCGAGAGAAACAGAGTTCTTCCACTGGCTGGGTCATTCCCCAACGGCCATGGCAACGGGCGATGGGCTTGTGCAAAGCAGGAGCCACCAACTCCATTGTGCTTCCCATGTGGGTGACAGGGCCCGAGTACTTCCAGCACTTTAGCTGCTTTCCTAAGTGCTTTGAAAGGTAGCTGGATTGGAAGCAGAAGAGCTAAAACTCAAACAATCTACCATATGGGATGCTGGCATCGCAAGCTGAAGCTGGTTTACCTTGCTGTGCAGCAACGATCACAACTCCATGAACTTTGTATAGTGCCTTCAAGTGTGTACTCTTGAAAGAACCAGATATGTTCACTCTGATAAGACTGTCTTTCTGATTTAAGCAACAATCATCACCATGCAACTATCTCCTTAAAGGAAGACAAATTTTCTGTTCAAATCATTCAACAAATACCTGTTCATAGATAGTGCTTGCTTCTGTATTGAATACATTTAGACACCCACTTCGGTTTTCTCTACCCAGAGACATACTCTGAGGTTTTTTCTTTTTTTTTAATTCAGTCTGCTATTACGGGCTTGGTAAGGATACTCTTGGTTTTGATCCTGATAACACGTTTACTTCCTTTGTTTATGAAGTACTACCATTAATTTCTTTTTCCTAATTTCAACAGTTTGCAAATATTCTCACAGACTTCTGCCATGAACAGTTTAGCTCATGATTGATAATAGACTCTTACTTCTTGAAACATTTATTAAAAAGTTGTAAGAAATGTGGCAATATTTACAACTGAATGGATGTAAATATACATTACATAGGTTTTCTAAGACTTATTCATTAACATGCCTTGTTGATTTTTAAGTGTAAATCAAAATACTTTTATAAATAATAAATTTGGCTTTGGAGTGACTGTGATGGATTCAAAACCAGCTGCTACAACTTCAGTTTATGCCGTGAGATCTTCCTGTCTTCTTGATTTATCTATCCTTCAGGACTTTGAGCTGTTCTATCCTTCAATTCATGCAATTTTCTTGGCAGCTCTGTCCAACAAACTCACGTAGAAAATCTATAGTCAACACTAAAAACCATATTTGTATAATACTTGTGTAAAATATCTCCCAGTAGAGTTGTTTCTGCTTGCCTCTTGCAGATTCCGTTGGGCCATTTAATTTTCTGATTGCCATTTGTGTACAGTTTCTAAGAAAGGATTATATGGAGAGAGATGCTAGAAATCCTATAGATATTTGTTGTTGCCTGTTTATATGCTTTTAACTTAACTAGTCACCTCTTTATTTTCACAAGTGTTCTGTAAAACGCTTAAAGCTAATGACTCTATCTTTTGCTAATGATCTTGTATTTTCTAGGACAAAACATGCATTTGCTCTGACACATACTGATTTCAATATACGTTACTTTTTAAAGTAACACTTGTGTTTAATAACATCTAACAGGTATAACTTGTGTAATTAACTTACATTCCTGTTAGTAAAGTTTTTTTGATATATGTAATTTAAGGAAATCAACCTTCATGGCTAAATTTAGAAATTAAAAAGGAAATCAAACATTTTAAGAGTTAAATTTCATAAGAACAGGGACTGGCCTGGTGACTTCCAGACTGATCCATCACCTGCTTTGCCAGCATTCTCACACAGGTCCCAGTTCATTTCCAGGTTGCTCCACTTCTAACCCAGCAACCCGCTAATGACCTGGAAAGGCAGAAGAGGATGGGTCAAGCCCTTGGGCCTCCAGACACGCATGGGAAACCTGGAAAGAAGATCCTGGCTTCAGGTTAGCTCTGCTGCAGCAGCTGTGGCCATTGAGGGAGTGAACCAGTGGATGGAAGATTATTCTCTCTGTGTCTCTCTCTTTTTCTGTCTCTCTTTCTCTCTAAAATCTGTCTTCAAGCAAAAATAAATAAATCATTTTTAAATGTCATAAGAACAAAAGAATACTTAAAATATATATAATGAGGATAACAATAGACATTTTTTCAACAATAGCTTTAATTACCAGGCTTTTAGTTTCAGTTTAAAAAAGTAATAGAATAAATTGTTTTAGGAACATTTTTAGATAAATTCATACTTCTAAAAATTGTTGGTATTGAGATAGGATAATTTGGCTTTTGAAACCATTTACATTTCTGTTTCTGATACTAGTTTCTTGCACGGTTGGTCTTGGCTTGGAGACTTTTCTGGAAATTTGAGTTCTTTTTTGTTGAAATTTGCCTCTTATAGGATGATATACAATCAGAGAGATTATTCATTTGCTTTATATCATCCAAACTCAATTCATCACTGACCACTTCTGTGTTTTGTGCATCTGGATACTTGCATTTGTGTCTTCCATGCTTAACTCCTCTGGTTCTTCTAGCCCAAGGAAATGTGGCTTTTTGCTTCATCATTTGTTTATTTGGGAATGTATGATTCTCATTGTGGCACCTGAGACTGCTATAGTGTGTTCCAATTTGGGAGGTACCTTCAGCTTTAGAAAGACATTTGGGTCTGTCCCCAGCAGCTGAAGAAATCTTCCCATGTTGGACTGAAGATTTCCACCCAAAGTTTGATTCATTGCCATATGTATTCTTTTCTTCTAAGGATTCATCACATATCTTCTTATTGGATTCTCTGTTACTGTGGTTTCCTCTTGGAACGTGACTCCTTGCTTCTCTGCTGAATGATCTCCTTCTAGCACCAGCACACCAAGATTTAGATCTGCGAGTACAGGACCTTGCTCGTCTCTGGGTGCTCCTATTGGAATGAGAACCATCTCCTACAAATTGAGAGGACTGTCCACATTTCATCCTTCTTTTCCTGAGGGAACTTAGCTTTATGCCATCTATTTTAGAAGAAATGGTATTTTCTGAGGTGCAACTCCTGGAAGGGTCTCGAGCATGCCAAGTTACTAAAGATCTTGCTCTGGGTGGTCTTTGAAAATTTTCAGCTGAAGTATCCAAGTATTTGTTTTTTTTCCCTTCATCTTCCCGGAGGTTTATCTGTTGACCACTGCTGAAAATGTTTATTTCTCCTGGTCTGTATTTCCATGCTTGGTCCCCACTCGGAATTACTGGAGTACTGCAGGTACTTGTAATGATTTCACTCCTTCTCAGATCATGTTCATAACCAGGAAGCAACTTTACCCCCTGTGTCTTTTTCTCTTGCACTCCATTTTTGTGCTTTGGTATGTTTGGGTCTCTTTTTCTTGGACTAGTCCAACTCAGGAGCATATTGTCAGTAGAAATTATGCCTCTTTGATGACCCAATTCTTGTTTGTCTTTGATCCAAACATGAGCTTTGCTGGCTGTTTTATGATGGACCGGTGAAATTTCTGATTCTTTCCTGGAAGCATTGCCATTGGGAAACTTTTTCCATCCTGATGGAGGCCTCTCCTCATTTTCCCAGTGGGCCATCATGTTCTCAGACTGCTTTGCATCATTTTGAGATATTGTTACAACCTGATCCTTAGGCAGTGGCAAAATAGGAGCTGATACAGTCAACCTCTTTTTGGCTAACGGTACATGGGCAGGGCATTCATAGATGGCCCGTTGGTCATAAGTCTCCATGTTGTAAGGAGAATGAACAAAGCTGATAAATTCGTGCAAGAAATGGTGGGTGTATTGTAGGAGATAAGGTTCCAGAAGATGAATAAAAGACTCACTGTCTAAATCATATTCTGTCATGTGATGGAGAATGGCAGCTAGAATATTCTTCACAGTATAACCATAATCTCCATACACAGCCGTGAGTTCTCGTTTGAGCCAGGGAATCAATCGATGTAGGCTATTAGGGTTTCTTTTGAAATATTTAGCTGAAAAATGCTTTTCAACTCTGTAGCCCCGGACATGTGTTACCCAAACTCCAGAATAGTACAGAGCTCTTCTAAACTTCATAACTACCTGATCTCTAAAGTGGCCCAGGGAGGTGGAGTTTGATTGAAACTTCCCAATATCTGCAAAATGCTTAAGTAACTCTTGTATAGTCAGTTCCTTAAATGGCAGGCTGTTCTTTGTGATATCCTTAGAGTTAGGACTAATATGATTGTTTTGAGAAAATCCTACATAATTTTCATCTCCTGAGGGAAGAAACACTGATTCTTCTTTGTTATTGACTTCCGGTCTGCTGGGACAACACTGAGAAAGGAAGGAGTGTCTTCTGGATGTTTTCCTTGGTCTTGAATATAACAAACTATAATTGTTACTTTTGGAAGAGCAGCTCCAATCAGACTCATTTTCAGCACGCTCCAGACAGGTAGAACACTCGCAGTTGGATGAGAGATCAGATGCCATTGCCCTCAACAGCTATATGTGAGAAAATAAAAATGGTTCAAATCAAATCCTCTTCTGGCATGAAAAATACCTACCAAAATCACTCACACATATTTCTGGAGTATCTTTTAGCTGCATAAAATCAGTGCTAGAATAAAATGGAGGAATACATTATTGCTCAAATTAATAATCGTGTGCTCATAAGACCCAATATAGAAGGAGCAACAGGAGACACAAGCACACTTTCCCTTCACCTAAGTTACTTGTCGCAAACTGTGGAAGTGAATTAGAAACAAACCATCAAAATTGAAGTATTGTACCATTTGACCTAACAATTCTAACTATACATTTAATCTAGATATGTGAATAACCAATAGATATATGTTGGGGTTTTTGGCACATACTGATCAAATATTCACCAACAGATAATTTGTTAAATGATGATTCACCCATTGTATTTCAATTATGTGACCATTAAAATGGAATTAGTGAAGAAAAAGCAGATTTCTTAGGAGTGAATATTTATAGGTAAGAATGCAGAAAAGTAAGTTCTGAGTTCCCAGGTCATTCAGTTCCTGAATTTCAGTTCTGATAAAAAAATAGTTGCTGAATATGGAAACAAAAGGTGGATTCAAAATAGATTGAAGATCTAAATATCAGACTGGAAACTAAAACTGCTGGGACAAAGTATGGGGTACTTCAAGATTTAGGCATAGACAACAAGTTTTTGAATAAGACTGCAAAAAGATAGACAAACAAAAATAAGAAAAATCAGAATGTAACAAAATAAGAACCTTGTGGACAGAAAAGGAAATGACACAGTGCAATGACAACCAGAGAATGGCAGAAATTGTTGGCAAATATGCATTTCACAGGAGATTAATATCCATAGTATAGAAGAAACTCAAAAATCTCAAACAATCCAGTTTTAAAAATGGGCGGAGATATCTGAACAGACAATTCTCACAAGAAGAAATGTAAGTGGCTAAAAAAAAAAAACCATGAAAACATGTTCCATATCATTAACTAACCCAGAAATGCAAACCAAAAGCCACAATATATCATTTTGTTCTAATTAGATTGGTTATTATAAAAGAGTGAAATACTACAAATGCTGGCACCCTGTGGAGAGAAGGGAGCTCTTATGCATTGCTAATAGGAATACAAATTAGTACAGTCATGATACAGAGGATCTTCAAAAATCTGAAAATAAATTTTTCATAGGACCCAACTGCCCCACTTGTGATTATGTGTCTCAGGAAATGAAATCAGCATATGAAAGAGATAGCTGCATTCCGATATCCACCGCAGCAGTCTTCACAATAGCCAAGATAGGGAGTCCAACTGCACATCACAGATAGATGATGGATAAAGAAAACATAGTAATACGCAGTAGAATATCATTCAGCCATTAATATAAGGAAATCCTGGCATTTGCAGCAAAACTGATCCGAACTGGAGAGCATTCTGTTAAGTGAAATTCGTTAGACAAAGAAAGATGTATACCATATTTCTTTCTCATGTGGAATTTAAAAGAACACTAGTTTGTCTGAATTTAGGATAATGACTATTGGAGTAGGAAGGAGTGGAGAGGAGTTTTGGAGAGTGGTGGCAGAAACTTCAGCATAGAGAGAGGTAATAGGTGCTAGTGTTTCTTGGCACATTGGGGTGACTAGTTCACAATAAAACATTGCAGGCTAGCGTGGTTCCAAACACAATGAAAAGATAGGGGAATGGGAAGTATAGCTGCTTGGTGTGGTCAGTTTATACTATGTGTGCTTATGTAGGTAACCATATAGTATTTGTACATATATACACATATGCACGCATACATACATATGTTGGAATGTTGTACTTCATGCCCATAAACGTATAGAAGTATTACATGTTATTCAAAAATTTAAAATTAAAATATAATTTTTAAAAAGAAATAAAAGTAGGTAATACAAATTAAAATGTCACATTTCATTGGTAATTGAAAATGAAAATTAAAAGGATATACCTAAATTAGTATTTTGTTAGAAGCAAGTGCCTTTTATCTCTTAAAAAAATGGAAACAGAAATGTCTTTTAATTCTATTTTCCACTATTTGTTCTCTCATTTTAATGTTTAATAAGTTTAATTCATGAAAGACAAAACAAAAATTATATATATAAAGAAAACTTATGGTCAGGAATATGAGAAATATCAGCTTAGATGTGAACAGTGGAACTTGTTGGAAGAGCAGAAGGGTATCAGTAATTTCAAACTTAACACCATACTTAGGCTTCTGAAATCCTGAAAGTGTATTTGCTCACATTTTAAAAACTAGTTAAAAATAATGCCTCCTAAGTGAACTAAATTGGCTACATGTGCTAACTTGGGGGGAAAAAATGTATCTTGAAATCTTAGTCTAGAAAATCAGAAAATTGGATGGGCTGTTTGATGAAAAACTGCTCCATTTTTTAGTGATGAATTTTTTACATTTAGTCTGACTTCACATTATCTTTGACATTTTTCACAGATGGATTCCACTAGAATCCTAGAATTGGGAAGATGTTAGAAAACTTCTCCAACATTTTCCAAACTTTTGGAGGCAAAAAACTCTTCCCATAAAAGCAGACACGAAAGTGCAGCATGTTAAACATGGCTTGGCCATGTCAATCTCTCCCTCTTGCAGTGCTGTGTACTCCACTGTGTCTGTAGCACCCAAAAGTGGCTCCACACAACTCTACAGGCACGAGGGAGCTCAGGTTTATGAAACTGTTTATTCCACATGTAAACTCTTGTGGGAACCAATTATGTCACTATAGGGGTGACTGCTTGCCTCCTTGTTTCTATTCTAACACTTTCTTGTAGATTTATACATTGTGGGATGCACCTAGTTCCATTTCATTGCTCAAATTTGGTATAAGGGTAAAGCAGTTATTTTTATTGTCACTAGCTAAAATATTTCACTGTGTAACTTCAAAATATTAGCTCAAACTGTGCCTTGAGCCTGTTGTCCCACACTTCATTATAGCCACTCCAGTCCACCCAGCTAAGGAAAAAAATCCCATGCAGAAGTTCTGTTGTGCTCCCATACTGTAGCAACTGGGCTCTCTGTCTTATCGCCGTGCTTTAGAACTCTCTAAGGATGTCTTTCGTCTGTGCCTATGGCTTTTCACATAAAAACAAGGCTTCTTGCCGTCTGTAAATCATCTCCCAGAGAAAGATGCTCCTATTTTTCATCACTCTTAAATCTCCTGCCCAAACTGGTCTTCTCAACTCTCCTTATAAATTCATCTTTGTCAGTAGACAACATGGCCTGATTAAACAGACCTGCAACTGAGCAGTGTGTAGAAAATGGGTGGATAGAGGTGCAAGAATCTTCTTATGATGCCAGATAGCAGAGAAAAGACAAATTTAGCACAAGCGCATTCCCCAATGTTATTTTTTTATCTTTTCATTTCTACTTTCTTCAAGCCCATTTCTTATATTTTAGCCAGTTCCTGCTAACATCAGATTGAAAATAGCAATGTCTATATTCCTCCAAAACACATAGTTCTACTCATTATTACTTTGTAAGTAAATGTAGCTTATCATGTAATTTTCATTCCTTCTTTTGAGGTTTGTTGCTACCCTTTCCAAAGATAATGCTTTCACTAAGTCTTCATTCATCTTTAAAAAGTAAGAAATGAGCCAAATTATATTATCTAGCAAATTTACCTCCCAGAAGGTTTGGATGTGTCCACCTCATTGGAGTCTGCTGGGTTAATTTGGTTGTAGCACATCAATTGTATTTTCTTTGCCTTAGAGACAGAATTTAGAACACAGGCAAGTTCTGCTAGGGACACACTGCCCTGTGTTTGCCATGAAGCTTCCCATCTCTCATTTCTCAGTAGTATCCCAGATGGCTTTAATAACAATCCCTGAATTAGACAGGATCTGTGATTTAGAGGGTGCCAGAACCCTTCCATTTCCTGATGGACCACTTAGAGCCAACAGTCTAACAAATGATCTGACACAAAAGAGAGCAAGAGGAATTATGACTTTTCTCGGTCAATTAATTTTCTCAGTTGGATTGACATTATTTGTAATTCAACTATTTAACTAAAATTTACCACTCTCTTTTTAAATTATTGTTTTTCAGTTAGTGTAAGAGATACCTCCCATCATTGATCACAAATGCCAGATGCCTGCAACAGTTGTATCTGGGCCACAACAAAGTCAAGGGCCCAAAACTCAGCTCAGTTCTCCCACATGGATAGCATGGCCCCAGGTAGTGATCCATCACATGCTGCCTCTTAGCGAACACATTAGTGGCAAGGTGGGCTTGGAAACACCTGATATGGGATATGATCTTCACAAGGAAGAAGTACCTTAAGAGTCAAGCCAAATGCCTATCCTTAATTTTCTGTATAAATTAAAGATATTAATAAGCTTTTTAATACATATGTCAGAGGGGTTAATCAATATCTTAATTGTTTATCAACTTTAGAAATCCAGAATCAGAGCCTGGCACAATAGTGTAGCAGCTAAAGTCCTCGCCTTGAACGCACCAGGATCACATATGGACATAGGTTCTAATTCTGGAAGCCCTGCTTCCCATCCCGGCTCCTGCTTGTGGCCTGGGAAAGCAGTTGAGGACAGCCCAAAGCCTTGGGACCCTGCACCCATGTGGGAGACCTGGAAGAAGCTCAGGGTTCCTGGCTTCGGATTGGCTCAGGTCCAGACGTTGTGGTCACTTGGAGAGTGAACCATTGGACAGTAGATCTTCCTCTCTGTCTCTCTCTCCTCCTCTCTGTATACTGCCTTTCCAATAAAATAAATAAATAAATAAATCTTTAAAAAAAAAAAAAAGAAAAGAAATCCAGAATCCTTAGTTTGTGATTTTTTGAGGGCCTTTATTTGTCCATGGTCAACTATCAATTAGTGTGGATAACACAATACGAGGTCATTCAAAATACAATTTTTGGTAATTTTGATGTTTTCCTTTTTGGTTATTGTGCCTCTGTAAGTTTAGTCACATTTAACTCAGGGTCTCTGGGACTCAGGATGAA